CTATTCTATTCTATTCTATTCTATTCTATTCTATTCTATTCTATTCTCACTTAGAAATGTTGGGCTCATTTGTGATTGTAAGGACTAGGTGTATTTTCTTCCCAAACAATGAGCCAGCAGTGTGCTGCAGCTGCCAAAAAAGCCAGCACAGTTCTAGGCTGCATAAACAGAAGGATAGAATCAAGATCACATGAAGTGTTAATACCACTTTACAATGCCTTGATAAGGCCACACTTGGAATACTGCATCCAGTTTTGCTCCCCACCATGTAAAAAAGATGTTGAGACTCTAGAAAGAGTGCAGTTAAGAGCAACAAAGATGATTAGGGAACTGGAGGCTAAAGCATATAAAGAATGGTTGCTGGAACTGGGTATGTCTAGTTTAATGAAAAGAAGGACTCGGGGTGACATGATAGGAGTGTTCCAAGATCTCAGGGGCTGCCACCAAGAAGAGGGAGTCAAGCTATTCTCCAAAGCACCTGAGGGTAGGAAAAGAAGCAATGGATGGAAACTAATCAAGGAGAGAAGCAACCTAGAACTTAGGAGAAATTTCCTGACAGTTAGAACAATTAATCAGTGGAACAACTTGCCTCTAGAAGTTGTAAATGCTCCAACACTGGAAGTTTTTAAGAAGAGAGTGGATAACCATTTGTCTGAAGTGGTGTAGGGTTTCCTGCCTAAGCAGGAGGTTGGACTAGAAGACCTCCAAAGTCCCTTCCAACTTTGTTATTCTATTCTATAAGAATGGCTGAAAGCAAGATTAAGAGAAATGAACTTGTAGAGCAGAAGGAATTAGTTCTAGCAAGCTGGATCTCTCATATTAATAATTAAGGAACAGTGTTTTTGGCATGAAGACATAAAGAATGGGAAAGAAATTAAGATACAAAAATAGGTGGTTTCCAAGTTTTTAAATCAATTTTAAGTCAAACTGCAAGGTTTTATTATTCAGCAAGTTTTGCACTGAACAACCAAAGTTGTTTAAGTTTATTACATATACCAGTATTAAACCCTCATGTTTGAATGTAACCTTCAATTAGGCAAAACAGCGCATCATAAGGCAACAATTTTTGAATCAACATTAAAATATGCACCCAAATCCCAAGACCCATAACTCCAATGGGATTGAAACTTGGCAAAGCTGTGGCCACTTCAGTGCTATTATGATTATCATTTATAACACTTCTTATCAGCTTCCTACAAGGAAAATCAATGGGGAAGCCAGCAGGAAGTGGAAGATGCTCCCATTGTTTTTTTGCCTGCCCATGGTTATTCTGTTTCTCTGTTTAGATATGGAAACAAATATTCAATGGATCACAGTAAGGAAAGAGGAAAAAAGGGCAAAACTGACTTGCCAACAACACAATAGCAATCAGAATGGATGGTGACCAACAAACAATGTCTGATTATAAACTTGCTTCAGTATGGAGTCTGCACTGTTAGCAGAAGACTTAGGAAGTATATCATCAGAATACATTTGCAATCACTACGTGGTTAAATAAGAATTCAACTCTGACTCTCTACAGTTCTAATTCAACACTAAATTCATTGATTTCATATTTTCCAGGAGTGGTTGTTTTTAAGCAATGTCTTGAAAAAGGTTAATTAATATGTTTCTATCCAAAACAAATTTCTTTGTATCAACAAAAACAAATGTGAAGCAAAAATAGCATAATTTCTGTACTGATGTTACATGTCTATATAATTGTAGCATATATGTCCGCACATAAGTCATTGAACTCAAGAAAGAAAATTAGA